GGGCGTGGCCCTTGATTCCCCGCCCCCGTTCCCGTTCCCGTTCCCGCCCCCTGGTGGGAGCCGGGACTCGCCGCCCAGCCCTGCCAGGGCCCCGCGCCCAGGCGCTGGAGCCACAGAGCCCGGACGTGGCTGCCTAGAGAGGCTCCAGGGGACCATAGAGAGGCGGGCTGCGATGAGCTAGAGTGCCTAGCTCTCTGCGGTCCTCCACAACATGGCGGCCAGTGTGCAGCATAGAGGGCGGAGATAGCGGGCTAGAATGTCCACACGGGATCCTCCCCAACATGGCGCCCTAGCACTTCTACCTCCCCAGTGACCATAGAGATACCTCATGCAGCACGCCCAGGGACATTAAGCACAAGGGGGCGGGTAGAGTGACTGCCTTCGCCTGCTACAAAATGGCCGCCGCCTGGCCATAGAGAGGGAAAGCTCGAGTATACGCATTTGGTCCTCCAGAGTGTCTTTTTCCTCATTATCCCCCCATTCATTAATGAGAATGACCTCACTTTGCACCATTTTTAGCCACTGAGGAAGCCTGGGCCTCTGAGCAGCACCTGGGCCGAGCCCGACCCCACTGGAGCTGCCCCAGAGGCCCTGTTACTGTGAAGGGGCATCTGGCATTGCCAGGCAACGGACTGGTTACTAGGGCTGCCCAGTGTATCCTGTGTTGTGTCCCAGTGTTGCTAGGAGACACGAGGGTCATTCCAGTGTTGCTAGGCAGCCTACTGGCCAGGGGCTGCTCCCAACCATCGAGGTCTGGGGCCAGGGCTGCTTCCAGCTCACCTGCCAGCCCCCCATGCTCACCAGGGGACACCCCCCCACCCCCCCAGAGAACCCAGGTGTCAATCGCAGGGCGGGCAGGGCCAAGAGCCCGGGGGCTCTGGGAAGGGAGGGAGGGTAAGAGCCGGGGGGTTGGGAGCCCGGACACCTGAGCCCTTTGTGGGCTGGGGGAGTTGTGGGGCAGGCGGAGCTGGGAGCATGGACTCGGGGTCCTCAGCAGGGGAAGAGGGAGCTAAGGGGGTGCGGGGTAACAGCCCAGAGGGATGCCTGGGATCTCTGGGCAGGGGGTGGGGGCTGGGGAACAAGAGCAGGGGGAAAAGCTGGGAGCCCGGTAGGGTGGCCAACATAGAGGACAGTCCGGGTGTCCTCTATTGATACACAACCGGACGCCTTTTTATCCTATATTTTTGTCTTGAAGAAAACCAGAATGTCCTCTATGATGGCCCCAAGGGCTGGGACACTTGGGTGTCTCCCTCCCCCCCTCCCTCAAGGGTGGCTCTGGCCCTACCTCTGCCTCACCCGGTGCTTCTCTCCCTTTCCAGATGAGCCGGAGGGAGCCCTTCTTCCCGTGTGTCTGGGACGCAGGCATCCAGTACGCAGGTATTCGGGACAGACAGAAGGAAACGCAGAAGCCCGCGGTTCAGGGTACCCAGGTAGGCGCCTACTCAGAACCCAGGTGTCTGGGAGAACAGCGCCCCCCCCGGCGCACAGACCCTGTGTCCAACACTGCCCCCTTCCAGGTGCCCAGGACCCAGATGTCCAGGCCACCAGCCCCCCACTGCTCCCTTCCCCCTGAGAAACCAGGTGTCTGGGCTCTCACCGCCCCCTGCTCCCACCTACCCCTCATAGAGAACCCAAGCATCTGGACCCTCCCAGAGAACCCAGGTGTCCAGGGCCCGTGGGTGCACACTCTCTCCCTGGAACCTGTGTCTGGGGCCCACCCAAGTGTCTGCCATGCACTCCCAAATGGTTTTTGATACCGTCCCCCTCCCTCTAAGGTATCCAGGGCCTGCACACAGAGGACCCAAGTATCCACTACACACAGACAGACAGATTCAGGGAGCCCAGATGTCCGATGTGGGCAAGTAACCATGCAGACTTCTCAAATGCAAGACCCATACAGAGAACCCATGTTTCCAGGATTCCCACTCCCAGTGGACTGAGGCCACAACAGAACGTACTTTAAAAAAATGTCCTGTTTTTATGCTTTCACAAGATGCCATCTTTTCAATATGAGAAAAGCTGTTAGGGGAAAAAAATAAAACAGAGCAGAGGAGAAAGAAAGACAGGATGGGCATGGAGGCCGTCAGCTTTGTGCTAGTGCCAGGGGTGGGGGAACCCACAGGGTGTGGTCATGGCGCCATGGCCACTGCTTCCCTGGCTTCCCCAATCTCTTCCTCCAGGGCCAAGCTGGTCTGTTGGGCTCATCAGGGCTGAGAAGTTACCTGGAACAGGGCTGTCTGGAGCCTGGAAGCTGGGTTGTGGGATGGCAGGGCCTGGCCCAACTCCTCCACGGTGCCACTAGACACTGGTGGCATTCCCTAGGCTTCCCCCTGTAACCAGATCACAGCCTTTTCCTTTCCACCCTGGACCTTCCATTGGGGGTGAACAAGGGAAGAAGACCCCAGCCCCACTCTACCCCCCTCTCAAAGTTGTTGGAGACCCTCAAAACCCCATGGCTCTTCTCTTTCTCTCCAAGGGAACAGAGCTGACTGGGTTGGCCTAGGAGCACCCGTCTTTTTTTCCTTGGTTTGCTCTCAGTAGCCTGAAGATGGTCTTTGTCTTCTCCCCTGGGTACATTTTTCACTGTAGGGGAAGGTCTTGGGGACTAAAAGCCAACTCAAAACGCAAGGGGAGGCACCTGCATGGTAGAGCAAGGTGCTGGACCCCACAAAATAAATAGATACAGACTCCCCAGGGAAGCTACTACCCCAGCAGAAACCACTCTGGCTACATGGGCACCAAGGAATTGGGCTCTCCAAGGAGAAAGAGGGAAGATAGGCCCTCTGACAGCTTCATCATCATCTCCATTTTGGGTGGGGAAAGAGCAGTTCATTCCCTAGGTCAGGCAACAAGGAATTCTTCCAAGACTTTGAGTGCTTTCCAAGGTACCCTTGCCAACCAGCTGGGCAGACCTGAAGGAAACCTCTCCAGAAGAAGCCAACTGAGAAGTAACTCATCAGTACCATCCACCTTAACATGGAGGTGGGTCTTCAAAGGTGGGGAGACTTTCTCTAGTCCTGCCAGGACTGTTTCAACCCTTCCACTGTGGTTCATTTGAGTCTCGTCAGGGCAGTGCCTGTGAAGAAAGAAAATGGAGTCCACACATCCCCATGCCCTTCTCCCAGCCTACTTTTCTCCCACCCAGAAGACCTTTTGTTTCTCCAGCTTGGGGCCCTTCCTTGAAAAGCCTCCCCACCCCCTCTAGCTAGAACCAATATTTGGCCTTGGAGAAGAGTTCCCCAATGGGGAACCAACATTGGGACATTTGGGAACTTCCTCAGATAAAACTGTACTCAACTCTCCATTTCTCCAAATGAAAGAAGAGAAGATCACCACTCCAGGCACCAGGCACACAACTCTACTTTTTCTAGTTTTTAACGTACTCAACCTTTTTTCATCTTGGTGCCTGCCCTGGGCCCAAGGCAGTCCGGGGCTGGTGTGGGGCTAGGGGTGGCGGTTTATCAGGGGCCACCGGTGCTGGGCAACGACCCCGGGCATGGGGGAAGGGGCAGCCGCACGGGCGCAATGGGCCCCGAGCCCGGGCCCAGCTCTGCTCTGTCCCAATGCTTGCCTGGTCCCAGCCCCAGCCCCAGCCACCCCAGCCACATGCTTTCCCCTCCCCCTACAGACTTTCCCGTGGGCACATGCAGCTCCCCCCACAAAATTCTTTTTCTCCCTTTGTGTGTACATGCATGTCTGTGTGCAGCCAATCTCACTGACAGTGGGGTGTCCCACCAACCGATCACTGTGGCCACTTCCATAACTGGCTGTGGCCACTTCTGGGAGCACCACAGCACTCCCCACCCCAGCTGGCGCTTGCAGCGGGGGCACCAACGCTCCCGTCTGCCCCCCCCTGCCCATCGCCTAAGTGGCAAGCATGGATGCTCAGGGGGTGCACTGGTGCTCTCAGGGAGTGCATGTGCACCCCTATGCACTCCCTAGGAGTCACCACTATGTGCATGCATGCACGTGCATACCTGTGTGTGCGTGCGTCTATTCATGGCAGGAGATAGCGTGTTTGTTTCTGTGTGTCAATGTGCAGAGAGTAAGTGACAGTAGTATGCGCCTGTGTGTGTGTGTGCGTGCGCATGTTTGGCCATAGTGGAACAGGGGAGCAGGGAGAAGAGGGGGGCATGTACCCCCCTACCCCCAGCCCTCCCTGTCAGCACCAGGAGGGGAAGGGATGATGCTTCATCCTCACCTGATCTCCACCCTGTCATTCTTGGCGAGCAATTGGCTAGTATACCAATAACAGCCGAGAGGCATTGGGTGTGGTAAAAGGACAATTCGGAGCCATGCAATTAACCCATAAGGCTTTAAGTGCCCTGCCAGGCACAGTTGGTTGCAGAGGCCTAGCCAAGGGCCTGAGAATATAAAGGCCCAGCCACAGGTTTGAGGCCAGTACAACCGGGGGCGTGCAATGGTCCACGGCCAGCCTCCCTTTATATTTATTTATAATCTGTAAAGGTGTGGCAGGAAAGATAGGGGGCGTGCCCTAGAAGTCAAACAGGGCACGGTCACAGCCACCCCTGGTTCCCTGACCTGCTACACTATAATAGGGCTGGGGGGGATGGGGGTAGAGTCTGTAATAACAAGGAGCTGGGCTGGAGGTTTGGTGGGGCCTATATAAGCAGCTGGGTGAATTCTGATAGGACCTATAACAACAAGGGGGCTTAGGCGGCTTTGGAAGGGCCTGTAACCAGGGGGCTGTGTGCAGGCAGGGGGAGGTTAGGGCCTATCAGAACAAGGAGGTTCAGGGGCAGGGCTGAGTAGGCTCTACAAAAAGGAGGGGTGTGGGGGTGGGGCTGGGGCTTCTTGTAGGTCCTATAATAACAATATGGGCCAGGGCTGGGGTCATGGCAGGAACTTGGGGTTTTGGTAGTGTAGCAAGTGGGCCATCCCAGAGCCAGTCTAAAATGTTGGCCTGCCCACTTGTCCAGGGCCATTTGCTAGCCACACAGCGGGCCTTGGCCCTGTGCTTTTCTGTCGGGGTTTGCTCCCCTAGCCTTTCCCCTCCACAGGATCACCCACAAGGCAGTGGGGTCTGAGGCTTACTGGCACCCCATACTCACCCTTCACTGGGGAGGCACAGGTGTGGCATTTCCTGGAAGCTGCCTCACCATGAGGAACAACACCACATCATCCTCCCCAGCAGGGCGTAGTTTTAGGTCATGCCCCAGGATCAGGATCAGGAACCTCCACCATCCCCATAGTCCCTGCCTTGTACCTCCAAGCTGTTCTGGGACCACCAGCAGGGTGGATGATGTTGCTCTTTTGGCCCCCTATAGCAACTACCTGCTCTGCTCTAGGGCTTTGCCTTATACCCAGGCTTCCAGCCTCTGCACCCATCAGGTGGCCTCCTGCCTAACATGTGACCACCTGATTGAGCCTGCTCCCACCTGCAGGCTGTTTGCTGCCTGCTCAAAACCCTTTGAGCGACAGGCACAACCTGTGCTCTGTCACAGCTCAGACCTATAACATGGGAGCCAGGGCTGAGGTTGGGGCTGGGCTAGGGTATCTAGTCACCCCTAGAATAACAATGGAACTGGGTGGACTGCGGGGTTTTTTGGCCCTATAACAGTGGGGGTAGGGAGCAGATCACGGCTCTGCCCCAGGCCCTGGCCCTGCACTGTCACCACCCCACCATCCTGGTCTCTGCCTCACTGACCACAACCCCATCCCACCTGCCCAGATATTCCCTGCCCAAGGGTTCTCTTCAGCTGACACCTGCCTGCTCCCATCCAGGGTCAGAGGCCTCCACGTGGGGCAGCACCAGCCTAGGCTGTCCATCCCCCAAACACCATGGTACCTGAGAAGTACCTGTCCAGATGCCTGGGGTCTCTGGGGGCCCGGATACCTAGGTTCTCTCCGGAGTGGGTTGAGGACTGATAGCTTGGGGAGCTGGGAGCATGGACACCTGGATTCCCTGGGTGGGGAGTTGGAGTTTGAGACCAGGGGGACCGGCTGTGTTACCTCAAGTGCAGCCCAGGCCAGCCCCCCACCAGGAAGAGCTCAGCCCTGCCCTGGCCCCAGCCCACAGTGGCAGCCCACCCTCGCCCTCCATACAATCTGGACGCGCATGTCCTCCGTGCCTTCCCACCCCTCTGCAACTCCCAGGTGAGCCACTTGCAGATGTCCTGTGCTCTCCCTTGGCTGTGCAGCACCTCCCCCTGCCCCACCACCTCCCTTACCATGGGGGCCTCAATCTGCACCCCCACACACCCCTTCCCTTCCCCCCTTGCCCCTTCCCCTGCATATCAGCAATCAGATCAGCTGACGTGGCTTATTAAAAATCGGTCATCTGTACTGGCCCAAAAAATTGGTGCACCCCTATTAGTGACATTACATCATGTTGAGTGAAAAAAAGCTGAAATAGCTTCAGTCAGAGTTGGCAAGCCTAGCAGGTGGAGAGGCAAAGCCAAGAGCCCAGATTCTCTGGGAAGGGAGGGAGGGTGGGGGTAAGAGCAGGAGGGCTGGGAGCCTGGACGCCTGGACCCCTTGGGGGCTGGGGGAACCATGGAGCAGGCAGAGCTGGGAGCATGGACTCTGGGGTCCTTAGCAGGGGAAGGGGGAGCTAAGGGGGTGCGGGGTAACAGCCCAGAGGGATGCCTGGGATCTCTGGGCAAGGAGTGGGGGCTGGGGAATGAGAGCAGGGGAGAAGCTGGGAGCTGGAACACCTAGGTTCCACCCCTAGCTTTTCTACCCCCTTCCTCCATGGTGGACCCGGCCCTACCTCTGCCTCCCCATGCTTCTCCCAGGTGTCCAGGGCCCATGGGTGCATGCCCTCTGTGGAAGAATGCCACCCCAGACTCTTCCGAGATTAGGTTTTTCCTTGCCCAGTCTTATCACCTGTCAACCAGTTGCTAGGCAACCAATTTTTGCCTAGTGACCTGGACCAGGTGAAGTGGGGAGGGGGGGGGTGAACCTACCTCTCTATTGTGTTAGCACTGGCCTCATGGCATGGGGGCAGGTGCTCAAGCTCCTGTCAGTCACAGGTGAGCAATGTTGCTTTTAAAATTGATTGGTTGGCACCCCACAATACCTGGCTGTAATTAGGTCTCCGGGGTGATGGCAAAAGGCCTATTATATAAGTCTAAGACTGCCCAGGGGGAGGGAGAGCAGTCATGTTAAGGGTCACATAATCAACTGGAACATCTGCAGTTTCAGTCTCTCTCAAGATGCTGAAATGAGTAAACTACCTGAAACTTATGTAGATAGCTTACTGTCATGTAGAAGAATATCAACCAGCTACCACACTGACACTGTTTGCTCTAGGGTTATTCTGGTACTTCCCTATCCTGTACCCTTCCTCAAGCCTACCCTCTTTAACCAATAAAGCTCTCTGCTATAACTAGCATGGTGAACTTGTGGGGAGAGGGATTGGGCCTGCCTGGATGATCCCTATGCTCAGCTGACTAAGGGAAGCTACTTGGGGTGCTTCCTTTAGCCTGAAGCACAAAAAGTTCTCAGTGGGTCAAGCACCCTCCAAGACTACAAGGCCTGTGTACCCCAGGGACACAAGACCCAGAAACAATCCAGACCCCTGGGTGGTGGCAGCAGTTGTGGGTGTGCTCCAGGAAGGGGGTTGGCCAGACACAAGGCTCCCCAGAGGAGGCACTCAGAGCTTAGTAGGTGGTGGGGGCTCAGTGAGGTGGGTGGCTCGGTGCAGGAGTGCCGCCTACTGGTTTGCCATGCTCCCCTCGCAGGAACCCATGTCCAGGGCCTAGCCAGATGTCCAACATGCACTCCCCACTAGTTTGACATTCCTAGCACCTAAAGGTGTCCAGGACCTGCACACACAGAACCCAAGGATCCAGGGCACGTGGACATCTGGGTTCCCTGCATGTCTGTCTAAGGTGGGCAAGTAAGTGTGCAGACTTCTCAAATGCAGATGTCTGGGACCCATACAGACATAACCCATGTATCCAGGATTCCCACTCCACTTCCCCTTGTTTCCTTTCCCTTCACCCTTAGTAGACTGAGGCCACCACAGAAGCAACTTTTAAAAAAAAATCCTGTTTTTATTCATTCACAAGACACTGTCTTTTCAATATGAAAAAAAAAAAAAAAAAAAGCCATTGAGGGGAAAAAAATGAAACGGCAGACAGCAGGAGAAAGAAAAAATGAGAGGGTGGGTACAGATGCCGTGAGCTTTGTGCTAGTGCCAGGGGTGAGGGAACCCATAGGGTGTGGTCACAGCACCATGGTCACCGCTTCCCCAGTCTCTTCCTTCAGGGCCAAGCTGGTCCCTGGGCTTAATCGGGGATGAAATGAAGTTCTCTGGAGCCTGGAAGGTGGGTTGTGGGGGCCTGACAACTCCTCCATGGTCCCACTAGACACTGGTGGCATTTCCTAGGCTTTCCCCTGTAACCAGATCCCAGCCTTTTCCTTTCTCCCCCTGGACCTTCTGTTGGGGATGAACATAGGTAGAAGACCCCTGCCCCTTTCCACCCCCTTTCCCCAAAGCTGTTGGCTAGAAAAGAAGTCTTTGGAGACCCTCAGTACCCCATGGCTCTTCTCTCTCTCTCTCCAAGGGAACAGAGCTGACTGGGTTGGCCTAGGAGGGTCTGTCTTTTTTCCTTGGTTTGCTCTTGGGAGGTGGAAGACAGAGACAGCTTTCTGCCCTGGGTACATTCCTCACTGTAGGGCAAGGTTTGGGGGACTAAAAGCCAACTCAAAATGCAAGGGGTGGCACCTGCATGGTAGAGCAAGGTGCTGGACCCCACAAAATAAATAGATACAGACTCCCCAAGGAAGCTAACTAGCTGAGCAGAAGCCACGCCAGCTACATGGGAACCAAGGAATTGGGCTTTTTATGGACAAAAACGGAAAATAGATCTCCGACAGCTTTGTCAGCATCTCCATCTTGGGTGAGGAAAGAGTTCATTCCCTAGGTCAGGCCAACAAGGGATTCTTTCTGTAGTCCTACCAATACTGTTTCAACCCATTCACCATGGCTCATTCAAGTCTGGATGAGGCATGTATTAAGTCAGGGGAGAGTCCATGAGGGAAGAAAATGGGATCCACCCATCCACATGCCCTTCTCCCAGCCTACTTTCCTCACACCCAGAAGACCCTCTTTTGTCTCTCCAGCTTGGGGCCCTTCCTTGAAAAGCCTCCCTACCCCCTCTGGCCAGAACCCCTCTGGCCTTGGAAAAGACTTCCCCAAATGGGGAACCAAAATTGGGACATTTGGGAACTTCCTCAGATTAAAGAAAATAACCTGGACTCAACTCTCCATTTCTCCAGGACCAAAGAAAAGAAGATTGCTTCTCCAGCCAACATACACACAACTCTACTCTTTCCAGTCTTTAACCAACTCAACCTTTTTTAATTTCAGTGCCTGAACCCGCCACACCCACCCCAGGCAGCTATGGAGAACCATCTCAGCTTTCACCTATGAACAAAGGAATTTGTAGTTGAGAAGAACCACGATTTCAACTCGTGCTTGGAGAGAGAATTTCCAAGACTCCTTGAAGGGCAAGAAAAGAGATGCCTTCAGATGCAGTGACAGCAGGCAATGGGAATTAAAACAGTGAGGGGCTTGGTTTTTGCCAGAAGGAAACATTAAAAGAAAAAAAATTACATAAGAGCAAGTCTGAGAAAATTGAGAGAGAGAGAGAGAAGAAAGAAAATAGCATCTCTTTCCCCAATGCTCAGGTCTACAAGCATTACAAAGATGGTGGCCATGGCATCAGTTCACTCAGCCCTAGTGGAAGTAGGATGGAAAGAAGGAAGCAATTAGGATAACCAATGCCCAGGTCCCTCCTGCTTTAAAGATGGTGGCCTTGGTATCGGTTCCCTCAGCCCTGGAAGAAGCCAGATGGAAGGAAGCCATTAGGGGGAACAAGAAAGGGAGAGAGAGAGAGAGAGAGAGAGAGAGACAGACAGAGAGAGAGAGAGAAATATGGGGAAAAGAAAAAAAGAACCATAATGCAATGCAATTTCTTTTCCACTTTAATTGACATCTGCAGAGGGGCATGTTCCTGGCGGCAGCAATGGGTGGAGCCTCAAGCTTCCTCCTCAGCCTCCTCACCGAAGTCCTCCTCTTCCTCGGCCGTGGCATCCTGGTATTGCTGGTACTCAGACACCAGGTCATTCATGTTGCTTTCAGCTTCTGTGAACTCCATCTCATCCATGCCCTCGCCTGTGTACCAATGGAGGAAAGCCTTGCGGCGGAACATGGCCGTGAACTGCTCCGAGATGCGCTTGAAGAGCTCCTGGATGGCTGTGCTGTTGCCAATGAAGGTGACAGCCATCTTGAGGCCCCGGGGTGGGATGTCACACACAGCTGTCTTGACATTGTTGGGGATCCACTCCACGAAGTAGCTCGAGTTCTTGTTCTGGACATTCAGCATCTGTTCGTCCACCTCCTTCATGGACATGCGGCCCCGGAAGACAGCAGCCACCGTGAGGTAGCGTCCGTGGCGGGGGTCACAGGCAGCCATCATGTTCTTGGCATCAAACACCTGCTGGGTCAGCTCGGGGACTGTGAGGGCCCGGTACTGCTGGCTCCCACGGCTGGTGAGGGGGGCAAAGCCAGGCATGAAGAAGTGGAGACGAGGGAAAGGGACCATGTTGACAGCCAACTTGCGGAGGTCAGCATTGAGTTGGCCTGGGAAACGGAGGCAGGTGGTGACTCCACTCATGGTGGCTGAGACAAGGTGGTTGAGGTCACCGTAGGTAGGTGTGGTCAGTTTGAGGGTGCGGAAGCAGATGTCGTAGAGAGCCTCATTGTCGATGCAGTAGGTCTCATCAGTGTTCTCCACCAGCTGGTGGACTGACAAGGTGGCATTGTAGGGCTCTACCACTGTGTCCGAGACCTTAGGTGAGGGCACTACACTGAAGGTATTCATGATACGGTCTGGATATTCCTCCCGGATCTTGCTGATGAGCAAGGTACCCATGCCAGAGCCTGTGCCTCCGCCCAGTGAGTGGGTGAGCTGGAAACCCTGGAGGCAGTCACAGCTCTCTGCCTCTTTCCTTACCACATCCAGGACTGAGTCTACCAGCTCAGCCCCTTCTGTGTAGTGCCCCTTGGCCCAGTTGTTCCCGGCTCCACTCTGACCTGGAGGGTAAAGAAACCACAATGAGTTCCACCATGGAAGAAGCCAACATCCCCTTCCTCTGACATTACCCATAAACACCCTTGGAAGAGGGGTGGTAAACCCAGGCACAGCCCCTAATGCTTTCCTTCCATTATACTTCCTCCAGGGTTGAATAGACTGATACTATGGCCACCATCTTTAATACAGAGAGAGAAAAATGAAGGGCATCTCTCTTTCCAGTGTCCAGGTCTACCAGCATTAAAGATGGAACTTGTGACATGAGCTCACGCAGCCCCTGAGGAAGCAGGATGGAAGGAAACCATTAGGAGAAGCAATAACCTTATCTGCCAGCATTAAAGATGGCAACCATAACATCTATTCACTAAACTCCGGAGAAAATAGAATGGAATGCTCCGGTCTGCCAGGATGAGAGATGGCAGTCGGGCCTTGGAGGAAGCCATTAGGGGAAGCAATGCCCTGGTCTACCAGCCTTGAAGATGGTGTCAATGGCATCAGTTCTCAGCAGCCATCTTGTTTTCTTAAGGGCTGAAGGAAGTCCTCACAAGGGTCACACGAAGTAGAGGCCCCTCCCAAGACATGGCCCCTTTGGGGGCTCCCAAAACCAATGCACACTTGGCCCCCGACTCAATGCTAGCAACCGTGGTCTTCAATCCAGACTCCAAAAATTGAGACCGTTACAAGGCAGCAGCTAGGCCCAACATGGCATCTGCACCCTGAAAGGTCAAGATAGACTCCTGCAGTGGCCTCCACTGTTACCGTCACAGGTGGGCAACCACCAGGGGTGTCTACCACAAGGGATGCAGTCAGCATCCCTTGATCCAGGGGCTTCTATATATAACCTGCCAAGCCAGTATCATTTGCACAGCTGCCCTGCCCCCAAGATCCCACCCCAATCGGCTTCTAGATTGGGAGGGGGAAGCTTACCAAAGACAAAGTTGTCTGGTCGGAAGATCTGGCCGAAAGGACCAGACCGGACTGAGTCCATGGTGCCGGGTTCCAGGTCGACCAAGATGGCACGGGGTACATATTTACCACCTGGAAGGGAAGAAATAAGGGGTGGGAGGGCAAAAAAAAAAAGAAAAAAAGAAAAAGAAAGTCTCAGGGTGGGGTTCAACTCTTCCCATCACTGCTGGGGGTGCGAAGTCTTCCCAGGACAAGGAGGTGGGAGAATGCTTTAGGCATGCTCAGTCTCAGCCATGTGGGTAAAACAAAGGGAGCTGGAAATACTATATTTATTAGCATATCTTATGCCCCACTGCAGACTTCAATGGAAGCATGGAGACACTGTGAAAAAGCTGCCCTGTCTCCCCCCCCCCAGCCTCAGGGAAGGAGAAAGGGGTTGCTTTGCAACACTCAAGTTTTTAACCCTTTCATCACTGCCATGGGATTGGTGGTCACTTTTAGCCCAGCAACCAGCCACTACTGCCGACTGGCCTGTGGCTTTGAGGGTTCATGCTTTTGCTTTCACCTAAGCAAAAGGATTGGTCCGAATCTCATCAAGGGCACAGGTATGCCAGGAAATACAGTAAAGGCCCTAAGAAGAGGACAGGAAGGGGCTTAGGCTGTATCAACGCAAGGGGGAAAAGAGATATCGGACTGAACTATTGGCATCTAGATGGGGGGTGGGGGAAGGAATGAATAGACCACGAGAGGAAGTGGGAACTGGATCAAACCATTGTCCCCACCGCAGGGGGGGTGGGGGGTGTTCTCCAATACCTGTGGCCTCATTGTAGTAAACACTGATGCGGTCCAGCTGGAGGTCGCTGTCGCCGTGGTACGTGCCAGTGGGGTCAATGCCGTGCTCGTCACTGATCACCTCCCAGAACTGGGTGGAGACAGGAGGAGGAGGGTGAGTAGGGGCAGCCTGACCCCTCTCCCAGTCCCCCCTCCAGGAGAGCCAGGTTCCCCTTTAATCCTCATCTACCCCCTGCCCCCCCGGCTCCTAGCACAGGCCTGCTGGCACTCCCTAGGTGCCAAGAGCCCCCCTGTCCAAACCACTGGGCTCATGATGACAGCTGCGTGTCTGGGAGGGCAGTGGGGGCCGGTGAGTTAGAGCAGAGGGGCTAGGAGGCCAGATGTCTATTCTTGGGGTGGGGGAGGATGTCAGGGCTGATGGGTTATGCTAGGGCGAGGGCTGGGAACCCGGATGCCTGGGCGCTCTGTGAAAGCAGTGGAGGCTCGTGGGTTACAGCAAGGAGGGGGTGGCGGGGAGCCAGGGCACCTGGGGTCTCCCCCAGCTCTCAGAGGGGAAGTGAGACCAGATGATGAGAGCAGCCAGGCACCGGGAACCCAGAGCCTGGTTTCTCTGGCAGGCTGGAACAGATCTGGCACTCCCCGCCTCTTTCCATGAACAAAGGCAGCCCTGACGTCACCTCCTTGGCCACCTCCTTGGCCGAGCGACGCCATCCCAGAGCTGGGTGCTTCTGAGAAAAGGGAGGAGGGCACCAGCTCCTTAACCCCCCAGCTGCAGAGGTCCTAGAGCTAGACAGATCCAGTGACATGGGGAGCAGGGAACATCACCACCATGCCATGGCTGTGCCCTCCCACCCCCAATGAACACAGGTGTCCAAGAAACACCCCTCCTACCATGCCAGCTCCCACTTGGACCAGTCCCTACCAGCTCTCCCAGTTCAAATCCACCAGACAGATCCCCTCCTCAGTGATGAGGGTGGGGGGAAGGGGGAGAATCAGGAAATAAAAAGAAGCCAAAATAAAGAAGTCATAGGGTTTGTGTTTTTTTGGTGGGGGTTGATCTGATGTCCTTCTATCTTTCTTTTTTTTTGGGGGGGGGGGGGGAAGGAAGTAACAATGCTGACAGATTAAAAACAATTCAGAGCATTTTCGGGATGGATCCAACTTCCTTCTGCACAGTTTTTGTAGGGTAAACCCTCCAGGATTAGAAGAATCCAATGCTTTTGGGGTGGTCTGATTTCTGGCTACCCATTTTATACGGGGACCCCCCACCCGATCAATAGATTTCACAGCTTTTTGGAGGGTGATCCGATTTCATTCCACCCTCTTTCTGAGGGGAACCCCAAGATAAAAACAATTCAGAGCTTTCTGGGGAAGGATCCGACTTCCTTCTACCAATTTTTTTTTTGATGGGGAACTCCAGGATGAGAAACTAGCTTTTTCTTTTTGAGCTGGAGCTGACTGCCTCAAACCTATTTTATTTGGGGGGAATTCCCACTGAAATAAGAAAAAAAAACAAAGTTTTTTTT